GGTTCACCGATGACTTGGGTAACAGTGGAGTCTTGCCCCAGCGTCCATGGGGACTGGTTCCAGAACCTTCAGGATGCCAAAATCCACTTCTCTAAAGTCCCTTCTACATAAGGATCTTCGATTTGTGTAAGTTAGAAATCACCTCTAGATTACTTGTGCTATCTAGTGCAATGCACGTGGTTGCTTGGCTGAATTGCTTCGGGAACAGTGACAGGGAAAAAAGACCTGTGCGTGTTTGATGCAGATGTGATTTTCACATCTATGCATTCTATGTGTGTGTATATTGAAGTGGGGAATTGAACTCAGGGGTGCTTAACCACTGAGCCGCATCTCCAGCCCTTTAAAAAATTTTTTGAAATTTTGAGACAAGGTCTTGCTAAGTTGCTGAGGCTGGCTTTGAATTCTCGATCCTCCTGCCTCAGCCTCTTGAGTCGCTGAGATTACAGGCGTGCACCAGGCAGGGTACCCAGCACAAAAGTACTTTTAATGATAGGACCCTGGGCAAATTGAGGGCTGCATATCACTGAGGGTCCCCATGAGGTGACAAAACTTCCCTGGGGAGAGAAAGGGTGTGGGGAGCTGCAGGGTGCAGGGAGGGGGTGCTGAGTCCTCAGAAGCCTCAGACCCTCTCATCCATCTCCCGACCCCAGCTTTGAGGGTTCACGGGGCCTCTGGGCATCCGGCAGTACCGAATACAGCCAGCAGGGGTCGCTCCAATCTCTGTCAAAGGCTCCCCTGTTTCCAGGGCCGGTCACACTCTTCAGAGCAGTTACAAGGACTTGCCAGACGCCAGCTCTGCCTTGCCAGTGGCACTAAAGGAAAGGGAAGGGTCCAGTCTCCATCGCGGGGCGGTTTACACACACACACTGAGGCAACCAATCAGCAACTACCTGATAAGGCTTCTACTATGCGTCAGCACAGTCCAGCACCAGAATGTTAACTAATAACAACAAAATACTCACCAGGTGCCAAGTACCCTGAGTGATGAACCCCAGAGGGACTAATGGGAGGTTAAGGCACCGGCTCTTCAGCCACAGTGCAAGGACCGAATCCTGCCTCCCGATCATGGAACCAGTTGCTTGACCACTTTGTGCCTCAGTTTCCCTGTGTGTAAAATGGGAATGGTTGCAATAATTAGGGCCTGAGGAGTTTCCGAGAGGAGTACCAAGTTGATCTAGTGTGGTTCCAGGACAACAGTATCTTAAAGGGAGAAGTTCGATCTTTGCTTACCTGCTGGTAGGCTGGTGGTTAAGACCCCCAATTACAGATTAAGACAAGATTTCAGAAAAGACAGATTAATAAGAGAGAGGGCTTATTTAATGAGGGACTCAGGGCCCTCAGAAGTGTAAGGCCTGAAGAAACAGGGAAATCTGTGTGTTTTTACGCCCAGTGTGATGAAGTGTGGCTGTTTGTGCTGAAGCTTGGCTGGATGGAGGGGCAGGAACTGGTGGTTAGAAGCCAGGGGGAGCTCAGCCAGGCCGGTTTGTCCAGATTCTTTTCCCCGTCGCTGTCTTCAAAGGTAAGGAAGCCACTGAGGGTCTATGACCATCTGCTTCAGGACAGAAAGGCAAGGCCGCTCCTGCCTTCCCCCTTCTGCTGCCTTCCCAAAGGCGGAGGCACCGTATTTTAGGGGGCATGGACTGAACCTGTCAGTTTGTTAAAGAAGTTCACGTGGGAGTGAGTCAAGGGCTCACCTGGCACTCCTGTCCCCTGGACATTGGGCCCGAGGAGGCTTCACTATCTTGGAATGTCCACACGCACCGAGGTCCTGCAAACCCACCAGTCCCCCTGCGGGCTGCAGGTAGCCTGCAGGCCACAGCTGGCCCCAGTATTTTTCCAGACAGGCTGAATCCCCAGTCCTGGTTTCCCTGATAAGATGCTGCACACATCTCTCTGTGGGAATGTGGTTTATTGGCAGGGTGCTCCAGGCAGTGGGCCTACAGGTGGAGCCTGGGAGGGGGAGGAGGGAGCAGCCCCGCCCAGAGACTGGCAAGGTTGCCAGAGGGCACTAGGGGTTACCCTAGCCTGGCTCCCTCAGCTGGGCCAGCCAGGACCATAAACCAGGGGACGGGGCCAGCTGTTACCACCAAGAACTATCAACCTCGGGCTCCCTGTGATTGGCATTGACTCCTTCCCAGTTGCCCTTGGCCTCTGCAAAACTGCTTCTCAGGCAAAAAACCAGGAGCCTGGCGGGTGTGGCCTAAGAAAGGCGGTCCAGGCTTGCGGCATGTCTTTCAAGGTAACCAGGGCCAGGCTGCCGCCAACTTCCTCTCTCCAAATCCACAGCCGCAGCCTGTTGCCTGTTAGGCTGGAAGGGACCCCCAGGCCAGCTTATTGTGACTTCCTGTTTTATACCTGGAAACCCCAGGGCCCAGGGAGAGCAAGGGAGCGGCTCAAGGTAATACCAGGAGCAGAACCTGTCTCCAGATTCTCCACTCTCTCCTGCCCTGTCACTTCCCCAGCCTACTGCATCCTCTGTTCCCCCAGGGACATGCCCAGGGGCTATTCATCCTCTGAAGCGTTCTGAACAAGGACTGAAGGTGACATTGATCTGGGGTCTTGGGGCTGGCTCCGTCTGGGAGTGAAGGGCCAGGGTACTTCAGGCCTGCACCACAGTCAGGCCTTGGCACCTGAAGTTAGGAACACAGAATCCCCGCAGGCCCCAGACCTTCTGAGGCAATCTGTTTTTAACAAGATGCACAGAAGATTCTTTGCCCCATAAAAAACACTGGGCAAGAGAAAGCTCCTTCCTCCGCGAGCCTCAGTTTCCTTGTGAGCCATCAAAGGGACAGAAGATGGCTCTGACTTCTTTGCCAGAGCTGACAAGTCAGGAGCCAGCAGGCCTTTGGTGTGACCTCTGCCGGGCCATTTGCGTTGGGTGGCAAATTCTGCAGAGTAGAATTTCAGCTCCAGCAGGTCTGGGGGAACCACCTCCCCATCTCCCCTTCTGTCTGCCGAGCCCCCTCCTCTGTGCTGGAGACCCAGGGCAGACACCACTGCACACATTCTGAGATGCCACTCATTCAATTGAATTCCACTTCAGCAACATGGAGCACCTTCTGTATGTCAGGGCCTGAAGCAGTGGCCTAGGGGCACTTAACCACTGCGCCACATCCACAACCCTTTTTATCTTTTATTTTGAGACAGGATCTTGCTGAGTTGCTTAGCCCTGACTAAGTTGCTGAGGTTGGCTTTGAACTTGCAATCCTCCTGCCTCAGCCTCCCAAGTGGCTGGGATTACAGGCTTGCACCACCGCACCCGGCACCAGGGGTCCTTTTTAAAATTCCTCTGTCCAGGTCCCACCCTGATCAATGGAACCAGCGTCTCTGTGGGCAAGTCTGGACTCAGGTGCTTATTAACATGACTTGGGCAATTCGAATGCACAGCCGGGTTGAGATAGGTCAGAAGTCAGACAGAAGGCTACCCTAGCCCTACCCAGACCAAGTCCCCAGTTCCTGTTTCCTTTTCTCAGGCTGGTTAGCTGCAGCAAGTTTGCTGCAAGCCAGGAGAACTTACCAGGAAATCCCCAGGATATTGTAATGCTTGACAGCCAATCCAATTAATCATCAACTCTGTAACATGATCTCTGGCTCATAAAAAAGGGAACCTGTTGAGTCTTTGGAAACCTGACCACTGGTCTTCACAAGACAACTCTCTCCAGACCCAGGGACCTGTGCCCAAGGACCCCAGGCTGATGGGAGCCCACCTCTGCTCCAATGCCTGTGAGTATACCTCCTGCATCCCCTGAGTTGGGTTCCTGGGCCAGGGGTGCGAGAAGTGGAGAGGGCTGGGTCATGGCTGCAGTGGGAGTCTGTGGGGTAGAGGTGCAGGCAGTGTCTTTGTGGCTCAGGAGAGGCGTCTGACACCACTTGGCTCCCCGTGCCATGGTGAGTTTCCTGTCTCTGCAGAAAGTCCAACAGGACCTGGGTGATCTGGGTCCAGGATGGCCACAGTGATGCTTCTCGGGGCCTGTAGAGAACCGGGAATGCTCAAGAAGCAGGGCTCTTGAGCAGGTAGAATTTCAGCTCCAGCAGGTCTGGGGGAACCTAAAGCTCGGTTTCCTCATCTGAAGGCAGGGGACAATGCGACCCATCCTACTGGCTTCACAGGACTACTAGAAGGCACAAATCTACAGAGTGATCAGGCAGGAAGTCCCTCTGGGAGCCTCACCTGAGGCCACAGGTGTTCCTTAGTAGAAGGGCCTCTGGCGGGTAGAAGAAGGAGAACCAGGTCCTTCAGCCTCAAAGACAATCAGGACGGTGTGTCTCTGGACATGCCCTCCTAGGCAAAGAGCCAAAGCCACTGCTCAGGGCTCCCTGGTGGGCACAGAAGGCTCACATACCAGCTCCCAGACCCGCCACTGCTGTGACAATCTGGTCTACATTCCAGGCAGGACAATGACAGTGCTATAGAGGAGGCAGCCTCCTATTGAGTGTGGCTGGGACCTGGGCCTGGGGCCTGGGATCCCCTGCTTGTGGCTGGCAGAATGTGGTGTCACTGAGCTTCCCCCATCTCTGAGTGTGTCCCCTGCAGGGTGGGGAGAGGAGAGGCAGAGGCTGCAGATAGCTGAGTGGGCGCCTGGTACCCTCAAAGTCTTGATGGCTGAGGGGTGGCAATGAAGACGACAATGATCCAGAGGCCCTAGTGGAGCAGGCACTGACCCTATGACACTTAAGTTCTGAGACCCTAGCTGCAGGGATTCTGCAATTTGACTCTACCTGTCCCGGGGTGGAGACATTCCAAAGCATGTGATTAGTGCTTCCTGAACTTCCTGCTGCCAGGGTGGGTCCCTGTCCAGCCCAGCGTGCAGCCCTTGTCCCTCCACGGCAGCCATGGGTAAGTCCCACTGCTCCACTGAGCCTCGGGATCCTGCCTGAAAATGGGGCCCCCAATAACAGCCACTTGTGGGTGTGAGGGTGCTGGGGCACCTGGGTTCTCTGAACCTGTGTCAGCCCAGCCAGTGGGACAGACCTGCCTGGAGAGCCACTTTGGGCCCCTGCCCACCTCTTCCATTCCCCACACTGGGGATGGGATGACTGGGTGGCCTGTGTCACCAGGGCGACTCCTGCAAGGCTCTGGGGGAGGAACCAGGCAGAATGGAAGTAAGTGTCCACCCTTTTCATGCCCCTGTGACCCAGCTCCAAGTTCAGGTGGCAGAGCCCTGTGCAAAGGAAGGGAAGGGGACCTTGTGGGTGGTGTCTTATAGGCCCTTGCTGGGCTGCATGGACCAGGGTGGCTTCAGCCACACTCAACCTGGGCCTTGTGCAGTGAACCACCAAAACAACCGTACAGGAGAGTAAGTGCAGAGAGACTAAGCCCCAAAGAGCTCTGTGTTGTCCTGCTGTGGTGGCACCTTGCAGTGTCATGCTCAGGAGGCTATTGAGAAGGTGCTGCCTGTCTGAAGTAGGGACAGTAGCCCAAGTGGGCCACTGAGAGAAGGGTGCTCACACGTCCTGTCCGCCTAGGGAGAACACCTCCAGTGTGTCCCCTCAGTCCCTCTAACTTAGGTGACGTGAACACAGGGCTCCCAGTCACTCGCTGGGAAGGCTCCTGAGCTGGGTGGAGCTCCGCAGACTGTCAAGTTCCTCTTCAGGTCAAGGCCTGCTCTCCCGTCCTGCCAAGGGACTCCCGCACTCACTGAGGACCTTCCCAGGGAGTTTCCCCTGCTCCCTGGCCTGGGCCCAGCCAGTCCGTGCCCTGGCTCTTCCCCAGGATGTGGCTGGGCAATGAACCTTCCCTCTGTCCCATCCCTGCCCCTAGAGTAGGTCCTGCCAGGGGTCAGGCTGGCCTGAGTCTCGGTCCCAACTGTCTAGGGCATGGGACTGGGGGTGGGGACAAGGTGGGTGGAAACTCCCATCAGAGCCAGGAAGAGCTCTTCTCTGTAGGTCACCCTTTAGGCCCCAGGAGCTGAGTGTGGCCAGTCTCTAGTTTCTGTTCCAACAGGGACGGGGACCACTTTCCTGCAGGGTGTGTGCTGGGCAAGGCTGGGGCAGCTCCTATTTGCCCTTCAGTTTTGTTCCCAGAGGCTGTGGGGACTCTCAGGAACAGTCTTTCCTGCCTCTCAATGGTGACAGGACTGGTCTCTCCATGGGCAGGCGCTGATCCAGTTGAGTGTGCGTGTGAGGTGGCCTGCACTCTCTGGTCGGAGCTGGTACCAGGAGCTCCTACCTGCCCCCGGCCCAGCCAGGCAACGAATGCTTCATGTTCAGGGTCTCTGGGCAGGTGACCAGAGACTCCAGAGCCTTGTCGGGTGAGGGTTCCCGTCTCTGGCTAAGGAGACTGAGCCCCAGGCAGCAGGTCCGGGGGGCAAACATGACCCCGCTGCCTGCGCTGGCATCTCAGGGGTGGGTGCAGGGCAGGCTCGCTGATGTCAGGGCCTTGTGTTCCGGTTCTAGTCCAGAGGTGCTGACCCAGAGGCTCCCCCTGGCTTAGGGACAAGCCTGAGGAGAAGGGATCTGGGCAAGTGTGGACACCCAGGGCTCTGCGGAGGCCTGTTCATAGGTCACGAGGCACTTGTCCCTATGCCTTGGGGAAGGACATTTCAGTAGGTCAAGAGTGGATCACTGTGGTCTCAAAGGTGTCCCTTGTGCCTGGCCAGATGGAGTCTCCCCTCCCTGGCCCCTGCTGGGATGAGGCTGGCTTGTGCAGGGTCAGGGCAGACCAGGGGAAAGCGACCCAATTGGGGGACGTAACCTTGGCTGGGTTCTGGTTCAAGTTCTGAATAAGTTTACCTCTTTTTATTTTTAGTAGGGACTGGGGATTGAACTCAGGGGAACTCGACCCCTGAGCCACATCCCCAGCCCTATTTTGTATTATTTAGAGTCGGGGGTCTCACTGAGTTGCTTAGTACCTCGCCATTGCTGAGGCTGCCTTTGAACTTGCAATCCTCCTGCCTCAGCCTCCTGAGCTGCTGGGATTACAGGTGTGCACCCCCCTTCCTGGCTTTTTTTTTTTTTTTTTTTTTAATATTTTATTAGTTGTCAATGAATTTTTACTTTATTTGTTTACGTGTGGTGCTGAGAATCAAACCCAGTGCCTTATATATGCTAGGAAGTGCTCTACCACTGAGCTACAACCCCAGCCTGGCTCTTTTTATTTTTAACTGCAAAGCAGTAGCCAGCTTCCAGGCCCAGCCCTGGAACAGCAGGGCCACAGCCTTGTAGTCCTGAAGGAGGAGGGGCCCAGGGGTGGGAGGTGCAGTCCTGGGGCAGGAAGCTCCACCAGCTTCCTCCAGGCTTCAGATCCACAAGGACCAGCCAACAGGGAACTTTCCCTTCCTGGCTGCCAAGTGGCGTCCTCTGGGAAGTCCCCTGGTTGCAAAGCCCAGTACTGGCTTTGTTAAGACAACCTCTGGATTCCCAAGAGATGATCCTGGCCTCCTTCTCCAGCCTGCACCCCTACCTGCTCAGGAGCTGCAGAGTCCCTTGACTCCCAGGATGAGGAGTCACCTTCCAGGGTGGGGCAGGGCCTCCACCAGCAAAGCAGGTTCCCTGTGGGGAAATGTCAAGGTCAAAGAAGCAGACAGAAAAGAACCCGCCATCTGCCAGAGAATTCCCCCGTTGGCATGTGGGCCCAGCTACTCCTGGGCTGGGCCCCAGAGTGAGAATAAATGGACGTAATAAACATAAATACGTGGGCCTGCTGTGCCCACTGAACACGGCAGTACCTTTGGGCAGATGGGGTTTAGAGGCTGGCACAGGCATTGGTGTCTTTCATTTTCTTGTCCTCCTTGGGGAGAAGGAGCATTTAGTAGGTTTGCTGAGGAAATCAGATCCAGAAGTCAGAGTGGGCTCCCACCAGGCTCTGAGCAGATCTCCGGGCGTCCCTGGGGTGAGGGGTGAGAGTCTGTTCAGGGAAGGTGCTGCTGTCAAGGCAGCTGGGCAAGGTGGACACGACCCTCCAGGGGATGTGAAGGTGGCCCAGAGTGCTGGGGATCCTGGGGTGCTGGGAGTTCCCTCAAAGAGCCAGTGGGTCCGGGCCGGGCTCACATTGACTTGCTCCATGTCCCCACCCTGCCCCACAGCCACCGAGGCTCCCCGAGAGGCGCTGCGCTTCCACGAGGACACCAAGGGCGCGCAGGTGTATCTGGACGCGCTGGCGAGCACCGCGTGCAGGCGCGCCACCTTCTACGACGGCATCGTGTTCAGCCAGCGGCCGGTGCCCCCCGGAGAGCGGGTGGCACTGCGCGTGCTGCAGCATGAGGGCGGCTGGTGCGGTGGCCTCCGCGTGGGCTTCACGCGACTGGACCCTGCGCACGTGTCCGCGCCTAGCCTGCCGCCCTTCGTGTGCCCGGACCTGGAGGAGCTGAGCCCGACGTGGGCCGCGGTGCTGCCTGAAGGCAGCGTGCTCCCCGGGAATGTGGTCTGCTTCTGGGTGGACCGCCGGGGCCGGCTCTTTGCCAAGGTCAACGCGGGCCGCCGCCTCCTTCTGCGGAAAGGCCTGCTCCTGGGCGCGCCGCTCTGGGCGGTGATGGACGTGTACGGCACCACCAAAGCCATCCAGCTGCTGGGTGAGACAATGGGGGACCCGAGTGCAGGCGCGGAGGGGTGGGGCAGGGGAGAGGGACAGCAGGCTTTGCCGCAGGGACAGGCGGGCTGGAGCGCCCGCGGCTGTTCCCCCGGTCCTGACTCCCTCTCTGTCTCAGACCCCACAGCCAGCCTGGGTCCCACCGCCATGCCGGCCGTCCGCAGGGAGGAGGCTGTGCCTGAGCAGGAAGGTGAGTAGACTCCCCAACCTCCAGCAGCCCCTCCGGAGCGGGAGGAAGCACGAAGACGTGGGGCGCAGACAGCGTCAAGTCTCTCCATCCCCAGAGCCGGGGATGGAGACTTTAAAGCTCTGCCTTCTAGAGCAAGGGCTGGCTTTACAAGTGACAGTGCTCTTGTTAGAGCATCATCAGGAGCACATAATGCTATCTATGCCTTTGCTGTACAAAAGTAATCTACATTCATTGTAAAATTTTGCCAAATAGAAATAAGATTAAGGGATACAGATTTTTTTAAATATTTATTTTATTAGGTGTAGATGGACACAACACAATGCCTTTATTTTTATGTGGTGCTGAGGATCGGACCCGGCTAGCGCTCTACCGCTGAGCCACAATCCCAGCCCCAAGATTTTTTTTTTTTTTTTAATGGTACCAGAGATTGATCCCCCAGGGGCAGTTAACCACTAAGCCACATCTCCAGACCTTTTTTTCTTTTTATTTTGTGACAGGTTGCTTAGGGCCTCTCTAAGTTGCTGAGGCTGGCTTTGAACTTGCAATCCTGCCTCAGCCTCCTGAGCCACTGGGATTACAATCATAGTACCAGGCCAAGAAGAAAGTTTTTAAAACCACCCGGACCTCTTGGGTGGATTTCTTCCAGTATTTTTAGCATAGGTGTGCATGCAGGCGCAGATGGACACGTGTTGGGCTTTGTTTTCTTTTTTTTTCAAAATTGGAATTTCATAATCCACGTCCCCATGTTTCATGGTGGTCCTCTGAATCCTGAAACCGTGGGTAGCCCTATATACTTGGCTTTTCCTATAGATGCCTATGAAGAAGTTGAATTTATGAATTGAGTATAGTAAGACATTCCCAACAATAACGAGTGATAAAACAGGATGATTCGGTAGTGTCATAGCAATCATTTAAAATTCATGAATTTTATTTCTGGAATTTTCCAGAAAAAAAAAATTAATATTTTCAGACCACAGGTAACCATGAGATCCAAAACCTAGACCAAGGGCGGACGACCGTGTGTCCGTCTTCTTCCCTCGGTCACATCAGGAGCGTGGTCACGTGAGGTCATCTTCAGAAGATAGCACCCTTCTCTGTCCTGGGATCAGATCATGAGAAGTGGCCCACCCCTTGCCCCACGTGCCCCCAGCCTGTGTTCTCTTCTTTCCAGTCACACCGGACAACGAGTGCATCATCTGCTTCCACCATGCTGCCGACACCTGTCTTGACCCCTGTGGCCACTCACACTTCTGCAGCTCCTGTGCCCAGCGGATCTTCAGGGATACCGCCACGTGTCCTGTGTGTCGCTGGCAGATCAACGCAATTGCCACAGTGTGGTCACCTAGGACTGGGGAAGGCTCGTGAGAGAGGCTCCCGGGTGTAGCAGGTTGGACCTATCTCTGCAGAGGGAGCAGGCGCAGCCCTGCCCTCATCCTGGCCTGGGGTCAGGGGGCCTGGCCAGCAGCAGGCAGGACAGAGAGGGAGGCAGGGAGCTGGTGGTCACTGTACTACTCTTTCCCCAAGGGAAAGTTGGGCTCGGGTCAGTGTAGCAAAGAGAAACCTCTCTGCCCACACCAGGGTGTTCCTTTTCGGGGTGCTGTGTGCAGAGGGGGTAGTGGATTCCTCGTTTCTGTCGCCAAGGCTGCGGTTCTCTGTCCTGCGGCTCCAGCATGTTGAAGACCTGGAGCGGGGAGGCCTGTCAGTGGAACTTACTGGGTCCTCTCCCTCCAGTCCCCCACAAAGTGATCCGTAGTTGTCTCTCAGGGTGCTTGTGAGGTTGTGATGAGATTGTGTGACTAAAGACAACCCAGCACTTGGAAAGTGCACCGTAGTTATGATTCCCTCAACATTTCTGAAATACCACAATAAAGTTTGTTTTGTATGAATTTTTTTGATAATAACTGTGTCCCCCTTTTTTGTGTGTGCTCAGTGGGAGGGGGTGAAGCTCTAGTCACGATGCAGGACATTCGGTAACCTGCCATCCTGCCCTCCTGCCCTCCCTAGACCACTCTAGACTTGCAGGGGGTCTGGCTGGGCTCCGGGTACCCAGGCCCATGGGCTCTATGAAGCTGAGCCTGTGCAGCAGATGGTCCAATTCTCCCAGAGCCCTCAAGTCCCAGCCAGACCTTAACCTAGCCACACTGGGTTTTGGTGCCTGGCCCGGAAGCTCTGGCCCTGACAAGGCAGGAGTTAACCTGGGAGCTGCCTCAGCAGGTGGGAGTGGCAGGGGAAGCCACATCTATTACTTTGCTATTGTTCTCTGCTCTGTGACTGCCTTCAAAGGGACATTTCCTGGGTGTATAAAATAGGGGGTTCAAACCTATTATGCTATTTTTTTTTTCAGATGGACACCATACCTTTATTTTATTTATTTTTACATGGTGCTGAGGATTGAACCCAGTGCCTCACATGTGCTAGGCAAGCGCTCTATCACTGATGCTCAACAGTTTTCATGATGGACACCTCCATCAGAGATGTCTCTGCAGCCCCCTCACCATCCCCAGGGCCAGGATGTTGGGTTGGGTGATACCCAACACTCTGAAGTAGGATCCCTCTCTGCCACCCATAGTGCTCTAACTTTCAGC